TTTTTTTGTATATGATCCTTGATTGCAAAAATTCTTGGCTGTAATAGATTTCTATGTGTTCCTCCCCTTCCCCCCTGAGTTGAGAGCTTTTAATAGAGGTATCATGGCATATCATGTTTTATGATGGGACTGAATTAATCTGGCTTGATTAATTGGCTTGAGGGAAGAGGTTGTTTTGTTTAAATGATCTTCTTGATGATATGATCCCAGATAAGCCTGGGAAAAGTTACTTTGTGCATAAGTATTTAGCATGGTATTATACTCTTTGCTCTTTTTTGAGGAGGAAAATAAGTTTGTTTAAAACTTCACCCACAAAAGAAAGGACTGCACCTAATACCTGTTTGCTTGTTCTTGTTTCAACAGTGTTTACTGGGAGTGGCTTACTCTCTGCTGGCCTGTGCCCTGTGGCCCATGGTGGCCTTTGTAGTTCCAGAACATCAGCTGGGAACTGCTTATGGCTTGTAAGTCCTTATGTGTCTCTTTATCCTGCAGGACTACTGAATTTTGAGCAGTTCTACTAAATTAATGGCTAACAACTTCTGCAGAGTTCGTAGTAACAGGAAATCTTATGTAGTTTCAGGATGTATGTGTGATAGACGATGGTTCTGGTGCATGCCTAGAAACATCTGCAAATACATGGAGTCATGAGTGAACATGTATAACATTTGGGAAGAGGTTAAATTTGTTCATTGCCACTATTTTTTTTCTTTAAGATAAACTAAAATAAAAACCCTATAGTGATAACCCTTTGTTCGTGTGTTAGCATGCAGTCTATCCAGAATCTGGGTCTGGCAATCATTGCCATAGCAGCTGGCATGATACTGGACACAAGAGGATATCTGTTTCTTGAAGTGTTCTTCAGTGCTTGTGTCTGCTGTAAGTACCAAAAGCCTTGAAAAACAGTTTCTGTGCCTGCAGGAGAATTTACTAAGCTTTTACTGCCATTTTACAGAACATGTTAAAGGAACTACCTGTTAATGTGTATTTGGGTAGAAGTTTTGACTGGAGTAGTTTTGAGGGTAACTCATCCTAGTGAGGTATTTCGTGTTTTTGAAGAGACATAAGTAGTTTGAGTATTCAAAAAATGAAGAGTGAATAATAGGATAGCTAAATTATCCCTTAAAAGGCTATATTTATAGATCACTTTTACTAGTATAAACAAGGTACTCAAAGTTATTTTGGTTTTACTACTGGTGAGGGTAGTGCAGTTTTCAAAGCTGATTAAGTGATTCTGGCAAAAATCTGCCTTGTTTTTAGAAGAATCTTGTTCATTGCTCATTGTATGTTCTTATGTCATTGTCAACTTTTTTTTTTAGTGTCGCTAATAGCTGTAGTGATGCTGTATTTTGTGAATCATCTCATAGGTAAAGTGTTTTTGCCTTCTCTAGATGTTTGTCTTTGATCATGATTCTTAAAGTTATTAAGCTGAGCAGCTTATGGTTGAGCAGCCCCCTGTCAGATGCTATAGCTCATGGATTTGGTAGCAGCAGCAGTTATTGGGTGAGAACTTTCCTCATAATTGTTTTTTTCCTAGACACACCGGTGTCACCAGTGTCCCTGAACCTTACCAGGATGCTAAATCTGTGCTTCACCTGTCCTTTCAGCTAACTTGAATGAACACCTAGGATGTTCAGCAGATAACTTCAAATTGCTCCCAGCTGCTTGGCAAATTTGTATACATACCTGCAAATATAAAACCTTGTTTCTGTAGATCTTCGGTTAGCTGCAATCTTAGTTCATTTCTTTTTTTTTCTTTT